AAACCCTGATCCAAAAAAAAAAAAAAAAAAAAAAATCAGGCTGCAGAGATAGAAAGAAATAAGGCAGTGAAAACAGCGAAATCAGGCAGCGAGGAAAAAAATCAGGCCAGAAGAATAAAAAGTGAATGGCTAGTGGGGTTCGAGTGCCGCTCAGACAGAGCGCTTGCTTAGCGGGCTGCGGCCCTGAGGTCTGGGCCCAGCCCCGAAAAGAGATGTCAGTGAGGCTGTGGGAGGAATGAGAGGCTGAAAACAAATTCCCGCAGGAAGTTTGGTTTTTCAAGGGAGGCTACAGTGGGGGAATGTCATCAGCAAGAGGTTGAGGCAGGATTGTGACAAATTCAAGGCCAGCCTGGTCTACATAGAGAGTTTGAAGCCGGCCAGAGATATCTAGTAAGCAGTGTCTCAGAGAGGGGTGGGTGGGAGGAAGAGGAGAGGAGAAGAGGGAGAAGAGAGGAAGGGAGGGAGGAGGGAATGGGCAGAACTGTGCAGCTGGCTGAGAAAGCCAAATGGGGTAACCCAAGGAATTGAGAGCAGAGGTTAAGTGGGAAATTGGGGTGGGAGGTCAGAGACAAGGCCTTGGGTCCGTGCAGTATGAGCCCTGTGTGTCAGAGTGCTTGTAACAGTAATGTCCTAATTTTTGGTTTGCTAAATCAAATCTAAGCTAGGTCAGACGTGTCAATGCATGCCCGTCTGTCTTCCCAGCTCTCAGGGCTGGAGACAGGAGGATGATAGCATGTTCAAGGGCCTCATATAGTGAGATATTGTCTCAAAACCCAAACAAGCAAAATCTAGTCGGCTTGCTGTATGGGTAGAATGCCCATTCTGAGGGCTCCTGCTTCTTCCGTAGCGGCCAGCACGAAGCCCGAAGTTTACACACTCCAAAAGGCCAGTCAGTGGAGTTCTGTCCCCAAGCCAGATAGCTCTCGGTCCATCTGCCGTGACCACGAGCGCGGAGAGGTGGCGATGGCTGACACTGCTCATCGGAGTCTGACCATGTGTGGGCAACTGTGGGTGACTCCCTGTCCCCAGTGCCAGGCTGGGTCAAGAGTACAGACAGCCGAAAACTGACTCTCAGAACTGGCTGGTTAGCGCCTTGCAAACCCAGTGCCTGATCCCTTCCTCTCCCGGCCATACTTCAAGATCTCACCTTCTCAATCCTACTTCCCACTCTTTCTGTCTCCATCTCCCTCCCCCTCCCTCTCCCTGTCTCTCTCTCTCTTTCTTTGGAGACCAGATCTCATGCAGCCCTGGCTGGCCTCGAACTGGCCATGTAAGCCAAGGATGGCATTGAACTCCCAGCCCTCCCGCCTTCACCTCCCCCACTGTGGGCCGTACACATGGCTTCCCCACTCCTTTTTTTGAGACACTATTGAGATTACATGGAGGGTGGGCCACCTTGCCTGATGGGGGCCAGGACAGTCTAGAGACAGCCACCCTCCCACAGGTCATTGTGGGAGGTTCCTTGTGTTGCTCTTCTAAAAGGAGTAGAGCAGATTCTAAAACTAGCCCAGTCCATCAGGGCACCAGGACAAAAAGAAACGGTGGAGTTGGGTAGGAAGGACAGAAGAAATGAAAGCAGGTATAGTGACTCACACCTCAGTCTCAGCCCTGGAGAGGCTGAGGCAGGGGCATTGAGAGTTCAGGTCAGCCTGGGAGCTGCATAGCCAAAGCCTGACTCCGCTCTCACACCACGCACACGCACACGCACACTCACACTCACATACTCACACACACCACACACACGCACACGCACGCACACGTACACTCATACACACACACGCGCACACACACGCGCACACACACACGCACACGCATGCACGCACACGCACACGCACACTCACATACTCACACACTCGCATGCTCACACAGGTGCCGCATACACAAAGGTAAGGCTCGACAGAAGCCAGGAAACTGAGATAAAAGAGGACAAAGAGATGGACCTAGAAAGAAAGAAAGCAGTAGGCAGAAGGGGAGCCCGAGACGGTGATTCGCTCGCGGGCCCACTGGAAAGCACTACAGAGATGATGATCATCATAATAAGGCAACGAGGCTAGGGGGAAATTCGTTGGCAAGCCAGCAGGAAACGAGGCAACAGAGGTGCAGCGGAACCAAGTGGTTAGGGTGAGGGCTCAGCTGCGCTCCAGGGAGGTGTAAAGCAGCTGGACAAGGGAAGTTAGCAGCTGGAAAAAGTCAGGCACCCAGGGTCGGACGCATGTCTGTCACACCAGCACTCAGAGTGGGAGGGAGAAGCATAAGGACTTCAAGGCTAGCCTTAGCTAAGTTGCGTGAGACCCTGTCTTGAAATGAACAAGCAATTGCTTCCCAGCCTTCCAGCTCAGATCAAGTGTAGTGTCTGCTCCTACAGATTAATACCTGATACGTCCTCTGTCCGAGACAATGAATTCAGTGGAATCTTTGGAGCCGGGAGATGGGGTAGCAGGTTGCTGTACCCACTCCACACACTGATGGTGTCGCAGCACTCCAGAAGTGGTACACCCTCAGGGGTGTAAGACAAACAAAAGCCAAACAGGGACCAGAAAGAACTCGGGAGAGAATCTGAAGGAAAGCTGTCTGGGAGGCTAGAAAAAAAAGGGGGGGGAGGGTATTCGTCAGGTGCAGTGTTAAATGGTTCTATTTCCAGCACTCTGGAGGCTGAGGAAGACCCTACACAAGATATGAGCCAGCCTTGGCTACATAGCAAGAGTCTGGGAGGGAGGGAGGGGTTAGAAATCAGACAGGGTTGGTGTAAAGTAGGGCAGTGAACCGGAGATGCGTCTGGCAGGGGCTGGGAGAGAACTCTTGGCAGACGAGGACAGGAGGCTAGGCGATAATAGGGCAGAGGGCACGGGAGACGTGTGGGGCTCCTGGAAAAGAACAATAGGGGAAAAAAATCTCTGAAAGAGGAACGGGAAGTAGGGTATGCATCCACAGGTGAGCTGTTGTTAGGGAACTTGGGTGTGGAGGGGGAGAGTGAAATTGGCTAGCCCACTGGATGGATAAGTTAGGTGTCAGTTCAGCAGAAGAAGCCGGGGTGCAGGCCAGAGGGGACTTCAGGGAACTTAGCTGGAGGGAGGCATTGGGTGAGGGCCGGGGGGAGCATGGGTACTGGGTAACCACAGTCCTGACGCCGCCTGTTGCCCTCCCCCAGGATGATCCCGGCAGACAGTCGCTCATTCCTGTTGACCGACCTGGCATCAGGCCGCACCTATGATCTGTGTGTGCTTGCGGTCTATGAGGACAGTGCCACCGGGTTGACGGCCACACGGCCAGTGGGCTGCGCTCGGTTCTCCACGGAGCCCGCACTACGACCATGCGCGGCCCCCCACGCACCCTTCCTGGGCGGCACCATGATCATCGCGTTGGGAGGCGTCATCGTGGCGTCAGTTCTGGTCTTCATCTTTGTGTTGCTTCTACGCTACAAGGTGCATGGTGGCCAGCCACCGGGCAAGGCCAAGGCCTCAGCTCCTGTCAGCAGTGTTTGCTCCCAGACCAATGGAGCCCTCGGCCCAGTGCCCAGTGCCCCTGCCCCAGAGCCTGCTGCGCCCAGGGCCCATACTGTGGTCCAACTGGACTGTGAACCCTGGGGACCCAGCCACGAACCTGCGGGACCCTAGCCGGGGGCCCACCTCTGTGGATCCTCTGGCCCCGGGGCCAGCAGGATCCAGACACCCCTCGGGACCTGGCCTCAGACTCACCAAATTGCTCACAGTTTTTAAAACTCTGATGGGGAGGGTGTCGGGGCAGCGGGGCACAACAAGAAAGTCCTATTTTTCTAAGCTGGGGCTGTGCCCTTGCCCTTGTCTCTGTCTGTGGGGACTGAGGGGTACTGTGGGGGGGCTGGGGGCTGAGGAGTACCTCCTCTGAGGAAAGACACTTCCTGTAGTTCAGCCTGGGGTCTCTGCAGAGGGGTCGAGGACAGTCATCTATAGGCACCCATTCAGGCCACAGATGTTCCGGGAACTGTGCTGAGCTGTGACTTGTGGGGACTCGGTGATCCAAGCTGCCCTGCCCTCGGTCTTGCGGGAAGCACGTCTTCAGATAGCCATACTCTAGAACTAGACAGGGATGAGGAAAGCCCAAGGGACTGTGTACCCCGGATGAGGTGCCTGGCTCAGCCTGGAGTGTAGTTCAGGGAAGGCTTCCTGGAAGAGGAGGGATGTGATCTGAGTAGCATCTCTGAAGGAGATCGTTAAGCAAAGAGCAGAAGGTGAGGATCCAGGTGGAGGGCGCAGCATTAACAAAGGTCAGGTGTTACCAGGCTCTGAGTTGCTATGGTGGAGGTGAGGTGGGAGGGGTCAGGACCTTCACAGTGAGTTTCTCAGCCCTGATGGTGATGGGTAGCTATGGGGTACTCTGTGCAGGAGGTGGGGGGGACAGGTTAGGCTTGGGCTTTAGGAGGTCTTTCTAGTGTTGCTTGAGGAAGGGGGATCAAGCTAGGGCTGGGGGGGGCAATGTAGGTGTCTGGGTGGCCAGGACCAACTTGGACCAGGGAAGAGTGGGCTGGGAGAAAAGAGATGGGTGCAGGAGACAGTAGACGGATTGCAGAGCTCAAAGACCACGAGGGAGGGAAGTACACTGAGTGAGACTCCAGGCTCTGGCCAGCGGAACAGGCTGCCCTGGAGGACCAGGGGCCAGGGCACAGCGGAGAGGGGTGGCCAGTGCGGCACTCTGCAGAAGTGGGGACCAGGGGATGGACCAGGGGATGACCAGGGGATGGCTAGCTGGCAGGGAAGAGATATGGCTAGAGGTCGGAGCCAGGCATAGAAACCAGGGCTTTGCAGATATTGTGGCTCACACCTACAGTCCTCGCACCCAGGAACCTGAGGCAAGAGGACTGGTTACAAGTCCAAAGGCAGACTGAAGCCACAACATGAAGCCCTGCCCCCACCCTAAAAAAGATGCTGGGAGGGGTCCCAAGATTGCACCCTGAGGTTTCTGTATTTACAGAAGAGACAGAAACCTTTTACCAGCTTCAGGAGGAGGAAAAGGTGTCCCAAGTAGCCATTGTGTTTACTGATGGAAAGGTCGCAGAGGCCCCAGCAAGAGCAGTGAGGGGAGGGGGTGGGACAGGCGCCGGTGTCAGATTCAGGGAGTGAGCCCCGTTCAGAGTCAACACCGCCTCTTGTCTTCCCTGAGCTGGTCCCACTGCGTCATTGCCCCAGACCCGCAATGGTCCTGGGATCAGACCCGGGGCCTGGGAAAGGCCAGGGGTTGTTAGAGATCCAGGAATGGGGTGACTAGCAATAGCACCCCCTGAGCAAGCAGCTTTTCTGGTAGCAGGAGGTGGGACCATGGAGGAATTAGTCATCTAGGGTAAGGTGATGTGCGGCACAGGGCGAAGACAGCCCAAAGCCAAACTTAAATTCTCATGGTTTGGTGCAAGGAATGTTCTGGTAAGACGACAGAGCCCATTTTCACAGTGGGACTTGAGACCTTGACAGTGTCCACTCTTAACCATGGAAACCTGGCGCCCAAGCTGGCTCCCCAGTTCTGCAGCATCCAGAGGTCACTTTGTCATTGTGTTACCCTTGAGTGGCTAAGATCTTGAGAGGTTATCAGCCCAAGTGAGGGGATAGGGGTTGGGCAATGGGAACTAAGAATTGGAAGGGCTGGCTGGGTGCCAACTAGGAAATACCCATCCCCACCTTGAGGAGGAGCCAGAGAGCACCGTTCCTAAACCTTCCTGGTCCTGCCCTGCCCCGCACCGTTTGTGACAGACACAAATGTTAAACAGGATGAGTGTGAATCAGGGAGTACACGTGGGAGATGTGGAACTGTGAAACTCTGGACTTGACTCCAGCTGAGGCCTGGAGGTCACTCTGGCAGGAGATAACTAGCAAGGGGTGTGAACAGCATCCCATGCACATGGAACGGCACATGATAAGGGGTGCATTGTGAGAAAAGGGGGAGTGAGGAAGCCAGAGACGAAGTGGGCTGGAGAGAAGGGACTTGGCATACTATCAAGGCAGGCAGCAGGTGATGGGAAAGCCCCTGTAGTTCATGAGAGGACAGTGGATTTTCTTCTAAGTGGCACGAGGAGCCACGGGAGGTTTTCTTTTGTTTCTCTGAGACAGGGTCTCACAACGTTGGCCCAGGTTTGAACTCATTGTATAGCTCAAGCTCCTAGACCTCATCCACGATCCTTCTGCCTCCGCCTCTGCCTCCTGAGCACGGGGATTCCAGGCATGCGCCATCACACCTGGACACTGGAGGATTCTGAGCTATGAGGAGAATAGTCTTCCTGGATCTCAAGCAAGCTCCCGTGGCAGATCTTGGGTGTGGAGGGCCAGGGGGGAGCAGGATAACAGAGGAGGAAGATCTGCAGCAGTCTTGGTAGAAGGCTGACCTAGGCCAGGCTGGACCGGAGGGAAGATGTAGCATGTCGGCAGGCTCTCCCTTCCCTACCCAAAAGAGGACAGTGTGGACCGCTAGCAAGTGACCCAGACAGAGGGGAGACTGTACAGACTAGGGGGAGAGGGGGCAGACCTGGGTCTCCAATCCCAGGATCCACCCCACAGGTTGGACAGCTGGTTTGTCTGTGATATAGGAAGAAGGGACTTTGGCCACGCCCCTAGTACAAGGCAGCCAGCAGACAGAGGCCAAAAAAGCTGAGGCTGAGGCCGATGGGTGGAGTCAGGCCCGCTAAGCACAGGGCTAGAACGGAGACGCACACCCAGTGATGGCCTACGACGAGTGTGTAAGCAGCGACAGTGGGGGGAGCTGAGACAGGAGGATCTCCCTGAACTTCACAGGACACTCAGGCCACCCCTCCCCCCAGTGCAAAAACAAATGACACCATTATTGAGGGTTTAAAGTTAAGTGCTTCTGTGCAGCCTTGCCCAGCTGAAGCCACCAACTTCCTGAGGTCAGGGAGTATGGTGTCTACTGCCCATCGCCCCTCAGGGGACCAAACCCAGGCTGCTGAGTCACGATCTCAGGTGATTTCTGTCTTGACTCACACCCTCCTAGCAGCGTGCCACCGTGCCTAGCCATGGACCTTGGGGTGAGTAAGGCTTGAATGAGTCCATAACATTAGGAGACACCCTGGAAGACCTCCTTGGGGCTGAGCCTGCTCCATGAGCTCCCAGGTGGGAGACCCTGATAGGGAGGACTCCCCAAAGAGAGCAAGTCTCCTCTGGAGAGTGGGACCCAGCAAAGTCTGAGCCCCCCATGCCTGGAGGGGTATCACTGCTTGCCATTGTCTTGGCCTTAATGGGCTCAGAACGTTGGGAACATGTGACCAAAGGCCCAGGTCCCTGCCCTCTCAGGGCCCCAGTTCTTAGAGAACAAGTAGATACAAATGGTGGCCAGGGTAGTCTGGGCTGAGAAGTACAGGCAGGAAGGATGGTGGCCCATTTTGTTTTCTGGTGTTCTGAGCAGGGACTCATGGAAGCCAGAGTGGAACTCCTGATCTTTTGCCTCTACCTCTCACGTGCTAGGATTAGGTGCCACTGCGTCCTGCTGGTCCTGGGGGACTTGAGAGCCTATGGGGACTCCTAACAGAGACTGATGGGAACTCCAAGGTGTGCTGAAGACGGGACTCTCTTTATGGCACCATGACCTGTGTAGTAGCCCAGTGTCCTGTGCTTACAATGGTTTAACATCCTCTGTTATTGCCTTCCTTCCTTCCTTCCTTCCTTCCTTCCTTCCTTCCTTCCTTCCTTCCTTCCTTCCTTTCTTTCCTTCCTTCCTTCCTTCTCTCCTTCCCTCCCTCCTCCTCCTCCTCCTCCTTCTTCTTCTTCTCTCTCTCTCTCTCTCTCTTAAAGACAGGGTCCTGCCAGCATAGCCCAGCATGGCCTTGAACTCAATCTTCCTGGCCTCAGCTGCCTCAAGTGCTGGGATTACAAGCACAACAGCGACCCCCAGCTCTCATCTTGAAGTTCTTAATACATTTGAAACAAGCTCACCACCATTCTCTTTTTTTGCACCCGGCTCTTCAAGTTATGTAGCCAATACTGCCTGAAGAAGATGTTGAAGGATGGATGAGAGCCAGGGCAAAGAGGTTCTCCCCAAAAAGACCTACAAGAAAGGAAAGGGGCCAGGTTGGGGGGGGGGGGCGGCGACGGCAGTGGCAGATCACGCCTTTTATCCAGCACTCGGGAGGCAGAGGCAGGCGGATCTCCGAATTCGAGGCCAGCCTGGTCTACAGAGTGAGTTCCAGGACAGCCAGGGCTACACAGAGAAACCCTGTCTTGAGAGAAGAAAGGCACGTGGCCAAGAACAATGTGTATGGGAGGGGCGGCCATGCTGCCTGTAAAGGGAACCGAGAGCGCCCCTGGTCCTGAAGAAGGACCTGGGAAGGGCCCAGGATCAACCCGAGCTTCATTTTCAATTCCAGTCTTCACGCTGTGGGCGTGGGGAGGGAACACAGAAAGGCCGCTTACACAATGTCCATGCTAAGTACTGGAAAGTCTTAGCATACAGAACGCACATGGGTGCACTGATGGAGAAGAATGTAGAGCTGGCATGAATGTGAGAACATGAGACTTCAAAGGTTTTTAAAACTGGCCCCAACTCCCTGGAACCCTGGGGCACAGTGCACTCTCCTGAGTCCATCAGCAACTTCCTGGGAACCCCCACTTCCCCCTAAATGCTGTTTCTGCCCCAGGGCTGGGGTGGACCCCTCCTTCACGCTCTGTTCTTCTCACCTACCAACCTCTGAGCCTGTGTCTGGCGTCCTAATTTTAGACCTGGCTTTCTATAATTTTCTGGGCCCCTTTTCCACATAAACCCTAGCGGCTCACATCCAGCCTGCCTCAGCTTCTAAGCTAAGCAG